GTGTGTGTGTGTGTGTGTGTGTGTGTGTGTGTGTGTGTGTGTGTGTGTGTGTGTGTGTGTGTGTTTGCTAACACTGGGCTTTCTCCTCCTAAGCAGGGTCTGGGCCTCGCCCCACGGTCCTCCTGACCTCAGCCTCCCCCCCCCATCCATGGCTGGTTCACCCTTTCTTCTCCTCTCTGCAGCTGGGAGAAGGAAGAACTAGAATCAAATCAAGATGTTGGAGGTGGCGACCTGGCAGCCCAGCCCGAGGGCGGGTGAGTTGGGTGGGGAGGGAGGGTTGGGGGGAGGGGGGACCCATGTTCGCTCGCTCGCTTGCTCACTCTTATTGTACTTTCTTATTTGTGCCACTCGTGGGTCTTGAACTCACGGACCCCCGGCACTGGTCCTGAGCTCCTTCAAAGTTCAAGGCTGGTGCTGTTCCACCCGAGCCAGGGCGCCACCTGTATTTCGGTGGGTTTTCTTGGAGAGCAGAGTCTCACGGACCTTTCTGGCCCCCTCCCTCCCCAGCCCAGGCTGGCGGGGAAGGAACAGCGATTCTCCGGATCTCAGCCTGCCCAGGGGCCCGGACATCCATCCAGGCGTGAACAGCGGCGCCCGGCCTTTCATCTCGTTTTATTGGTGTGTGTGTGTGCTGTGTCTGGCCTCGCTGCCCGGCGTTAATGACAGAGCAGCCGGCATTGCTCTCCACGCTCCTCTCCCCAGCTGCTCAGTCATCACCTCGCTCCTAATTATAGCTTTGTATGGATTTCTTCTTTTTTCTTTTGCCCTTGGAAATCGCTGAAGCACTCAACCACCTGAGCCACAGCACCACATCCGTTTTTCTGGCAGTTCCTTGGAGATCAGAGTCTCCCGGGCTTTCCTGCCCGAGGCTGGGCCTCGAACCGCGATCCTCTGGATCGCAGCCTCCTCCTGATATCCCCCAGCCTCACTGGCTGTGTTCTTCTCCATCTCCACCGCAGGCCTCAGGGTCCTGTCCCGGACGCCGGTTGTCCTGGCGCTGGCGGTGCTGCTGGTCAGTGTGGGGGTGCTGCTGACTGTGGCACTGGTGCAGACACGGCGGACGCGACCCCAGCCCCCAGGGCTGAAGGTGAGTGGCCTGGCTGGGGCAACACAGGAGGGGCCGGAAAGGGAGTCAGGAGGAGGCAGAAATCCAGAGGATCAAGGTTCCAGGCCAGCCCGGGGCAGGAAGAGTCTGTGAAACCCTGACCTCCAAGGAAGCAGCAAAAAGCAGGAAGTGGTGCTGTGGCTCAAGTGGTAGAGCGCCAGCCTTGAGCAAAAGCAGCTCAGGGACAGCAGCACCCAGGCCCTGAGTTCGAGTCCCACAACCAAGGGGGGGGGTGGCAGAACACAGAGGTCTCTGGCCTTCACCCCCTGCCAGCCAGGCCATGCCAGGAGGTGCAGGTGGTGAACAATGCCTCCTTGTTCACCATATAAAAACAAACAGGAAAATCCCCAGCCCTGCCGGATCGAATTTCCTGGGCTGAGGTTCTGAGATCAGGAACCGGTTCAGACCAGAATACTGATGTCACCAGGCATGGGAGGAGTGGGGACCACGGGGCTTGAACTCACCTGCCCTGGGCCAGGCTTCCAACCGCGATCCTCCGGATTGCAGCCTCCTCCTGATGTGGCTTGGATGACAGGCGCGAGTGTTGTTGCCTGGCCTGGCTCAACTTCTCTGCTCATTTCCCTCTTGGGCCCGCCTGGAGGAGTGTCCGCTCTGTGGGCTTCTCTCGCCCAGCCTCCCCAACTGAGTCTCCCCGCTCTTTGCTCTCTGACAGTATGGTGTGGTCCTGGACGCTGGCTCTTCCCGCACAACTGTTTACGTCTACCACTGGCCAGCCGAGAAGGAGAATGACACTGGTGTTGTCAGCCAGAGCCTCAAATGCAGCGTGCCAGGTCAGGGGGGGAGGGAGGGGGGAGGCCAGCCTCGGCCACCGGTATTCCTGGGTGGTGGGAGGTGAGCACTGATTTGGGAGTCGGGGTGGCTGAGCCCCCAGATCACAGCTCAGGCACTCTTGGGCAGGGACGGGCAACTTATACACCAATGAACAAGGCTCTGTTCCCAGCTACTGGGGAGGCTGAGATCTGGAGGAGCGTGGTTCAGAGCCAAGCCCAGGCAGTCCGTGAGACTGATCTCCAATGAACCAGCAAAAGGTGGAAGTGGCGCTGTGGCTCAAGTGGTAGAGCGCCAGCCTTGAGCAAAAGCCGCTCAGGGACAGCGCCCAGGCCCTGGGTTCAAGTGCTGGAGACACACACACACACACACACACACACACAGACACACACACACACACACACACAGACACACACACACAGACACACACAGACACACGCACGCACCTGAGCTGCATCTCTGTGTCAGGCTCCGGAATTTCCAGCTACGACAAGAACCCCGAAGATGCCCCGCGGGCGTTCGAGAGCTGCATGGGAAAGGTCTGGGAGGCGATCCCCGCGCCCCTCCACGCCTCCACGCACCTCTACCTGGGCGCCACAGCCGGCATGCGCCTGCTCAGGTAAACCCAAATGCCACGAAGGCGGCCCTGCCACCATGCTGCCCAACAGCACAATTCCAGCCGGGCGCCGTGGCTCACGCCTGTCATCCCAGGGCCTGAGGAGGCTGAAATCCGGAGGATGGCGGTTCGAGGCCAGTCCCGGACCAGCAGGAAAACCACACATGGGGGTGGGCACCGTCCCTGAGTTCTGGTGCTCAAGGCCTGGTGCTCCACCACTTGAGCCACAGCGCCACTCACGGCTTTGGGCTGGGTCACGGGAGATGAGAGTCTCAGGGCCTTCCCCACCCTGGGCTGGCCTCTACCCGCGATCCTCCGGATCCCAGCCTCCTTCTGCCTCGCCTAGGTTGCAGAATGCGACAGCGGCCGCCGCGGTCCTGGCCAGCGTCCGCGGCTACCTGGAGGCGCAGCCCTTTGACTTCGGGGGTGCCCGCGTCCTGACAGGGCAGGAGGAGGGGGAGTGCGCCTGGATCACCGCCAACTACCTCAAGGGGAACTTCGTGCAGGTGCGGGGCGGGCCCCGGGGTCCCCACTGTCCCTGTGGCCTTCGCCCACCAGATGGGACTCACAGCGGGACAGCCGGATAGAGGGACAGATGCGGACTGAGAGCCGGGCGTCGCGACTCACGCCTGCTGTCCCAGCCATAGCCCATGTCCACAGCCTGGGGCCAGAGCGGAGTGTGCAGGGCCCCCTTTCTCTCCCCACAGAGGACACCGTGGCCGGCGTGGACACACCCGCAGGGCGCGCGGACGGTGGGCGCGCTGGACCTGGGCGGCGCGTCCACGCAGATCGCCTTCGTGCCGGCCGAGCGGGGCTCGCAGGAGGCCGGGGCGCGCGTGTCTCTGTTCGGCTACTCATACCCGCTGCACACGCGCAGCCTCCTGTGCTTCGGCCGCCAAGAGGCGGAGAGGAGGCTGCTGGCCGCGCTGCTGCAGGTCGGGGGGTGAGGAGGGAGGGGGAGGAAGGGAGGGAGGAGGGGAGGGGTGGGGAGGGCCTGGGCGCTGGCCCGGAGCTGCTCCCCCTACAGGCTGGTGCTCTACCACTTGCACCATGCCTCCACTTCTGTCTTTTTGCTGGTTCACTGGAGATCAGAGCCCCACGGACTTTCCTGCCCCTGGCTGGCCTCCAACCGCCATCCTCTAGATCTCAGCCTCCCGAGTCGCTGGGATGAGAGGCACCCGGCCTGGAGCTGAGGGTTGAACTAAGAGCAGAATGTCACCTCCAGTGAAGCAGCAAAAGGCAGAAGTGGAGGCGTGGTTCAAGCGGTGGAGAGCCAGCCCGGAGCAAAAGCAGCTCAGGCCCTGAGTTCAAGCCCCAGGACCTAGATTTGTTTGCAGTAAGGCCTCCTTGCCCTCACCCCCCGCTCCTGATCGGTTCTTGGGCCCACAGGACGCTCCATCCGCAGGCGAGCTGGTGAACCCCTGTTACCCCCAAGGCTACAGCGCGGCCTTCACCCTGGGGCAGATCTTCGGGAGCAGCTGCACGGAGCGGCAGCGGCCAGCCGGCCTTCACCCCCTGCGCCAAGTCCTGTTTATAGGCTCGGGCTCCCCATCGCGCTGCGGGGAGAGAGTGGGTGCCCTCTTCCACCCCCAGCTCTGCCCAGGCCCAGGACCCTGTCCCTTCGATGGGGCTGACCAGCCCGAGCCTCACGGCCCCTTTGTGGTAAGCACCGGACCCACCCAGTCACGCAATTGCTCCTTAAGCCGGCCGGGGACTGCCACTCACGCCTGGAATCCAGGCTATTGAGCCTTTGTTTCCTTTTGCCAGTTCTGGGCCTTGAACTCAGGGCCTGGGCAGTGCCCCCAAACTGCTCTGCTCAAGGCTGGCGCTCTACCACTTGAGCCACAGCACCATTTCAGGCTTTTTCTGCATATGTGGCACTGAGGAATCGAACCCCGGGCTTTGTGCATGCGAGGTGAGCGCTGTACTGCTGAGCCACGCTCCCAGCCCTGCCCCGCATCTTCTTTTGGTTGTTGGCAGGCGTTTGCTGGCTTTTATTACACGGCCAATGCCCTGAACCTCTCAGGCAGCTTCTCCCTGGACGCCTTTAACACCAGCACCTGGGATTTCTGTAGCCGCACGTGGACTGAGGTCAGCACCTGGGGGGGGACCCGGGCAGGGGGACACAACACCAAGGCAGCTCAGAAATCACAGCGGGAGCTGAGTGGCCTGCCTACTAGGGGACTCACAGCACGTCCTCCTGGCCACTCGGGAGGCTGAGATCCGGAGGATCGCAGTTTGAGGCCAGCATAGAGCAGGAAAGACCCCAACTCTCCCAAGAACCAGCAAAAAGCCAGAAGTGGCGCTGTGGCTCAAGTGGTAGAGCACCAGCCTTGAGTGAAAATTAGGATGTGAGATCCTGAGTTCGAACCCAGGGATGAGCAGACAAGAGACAGAGACATGCACACGCAGAGCCGCTGCGGCTGAGTGGGTGAGTCCCTCCCTTGCCAGCTGCCCGCCCTGCTCCCCAAGTTCCAAGAGGACTACGCGCGCTCCTACTGCTTCTCCGCCCACTACATCTACCACCTGCTCGTCCACGGCTTCAAGTTCACCGCCAGCACTTGGCCCCAAATCCACTTTGAGAAGCAGGTAAGTCTCACACACACGCACGCCGCTTCCTTGTAAGACGCACGGGGGTCTGGGCCTGTGCAGAGCCGTGGTCTTCCTCCGCAGGTGGGGAACAGCAGTCTGGGCTGGGCGCTAGGCTACATGCTCAACCTCACCAACCAGATCCCCGCCGAGCACGCCCGTCCACCGCACCTGCCCGTCCCCGCGCCCATCTTCGTGGGTGTCCTGGCCACGTTCACCACGGCCGCCGTGCTGGCCCTGGCCGTCCTCCTCTACCTCTGTGCGGGGCCCCGGATCACGCACGCCCCTGAGCAGGCCTTGGATGCTGAGTAAAAGGTAGGAGCTCTTGAGCCCCAGGGGGCTGGAGGGTTCAACTGGTTGTTTTAGAATGACAGCCGGGCTCCGCTGCACACGCCTGTAGTCCCAGCTGGTCACTGGAGGAAGCCTGAGAGCTAGGCAAGGATGGTGGTTTCCAAAGGCTCGGCCCTGAGCCAGGAAGTCTTTCCAGACTCTTCTCTCGCTGAGCTGGCTGTGTGCGGATCCACGCGTGCAAACACAGCTCAGGGTGGCTCGCGTGCGAGAAAATAGCTCTATCTCATAGCTTACGTGTGATATATACTATGTACTTTATGTCAAAAGGGGACAGCGCCCAGGTCCTGAGTTCAAGTCCTAGAAAACACACACACACTTAGTACAAAGTCACGTGGATGAGAAATTCTAGGGCAGGCTCCCTCAGGATCCTGGGATCGCAGCTTCCTGAGCAGCAGGCACTACAGGCGTGAGCTGTGGCGGTGGGCCGGGCTCAGGAGTTTCCTTGCTGTGAACACTGAGGCTCCTTTTATTCCTCCAGGAAACCCCGGGGTTCAAACATGACGTCATCAGGAGCAGCTCCCTCAGTAAATATTTGTACAATAAATGGATCGAATAACTTAAAAGGGGCAGCGAGCGCAGCGGCCTCGGGAGGGAGGCCAGCTCGGCAGCACGGGCTGCTCAGCTGCAGGATGGACGCAAAAACAGCCGAGGTCAGCAGGGAGAGTGACCTCTGACCCCTCCATGGCTGTCCACCCTGGGAGCACAGGCCCTGGCTGGCCATGACCACATAGCCCAAAGCAAACACGGAACCGAGGCGGGCTGTGACGCGCAAGCGCACCGTCTCATTGGAGGTAGGGAAAACACGACACTCGCTAGGCTGGAGTTCTATTGCTGCGCTACACCACCAGGCCCACTTGGCAGGCACCAGGGCTGAACTTTTATCTACCTGTAGATACTATTTTTGTGCTGGTGCTGGGGTTTGAACTCAGGACCTGGGCACTGTCCCTGAGCTGCTTTTGCTCCAGGCTGGCGCTCTACCACCTGAGACAGGGCAGTATCTACACCAGCTGGGGCTGGTGCCGAACTATGATCCTCCAGACCTCAGCCTCCTGAGTGGCTGGGATGGCAGGCGTGAGCTACTGGTGCCTTCTAGATCACCCAGAGGTGAGCACGCTGACACAAAAGGACTATGCCTAAGGAACAAGCACTGGAAGGTGGAGGGCTGCAAGCTGGGTGCTGGGGTCTGAGTACACAGGCAGGTGGACACAATCTGCCAACATAAAGCAAACCTTTATTCCTCGCAAGATCTGCACTAGGCTTTCTTGCCGGCCGCTTTGGGGGCGGCCGGCTTGGCTGCGGGGGGCTTGGCGCCTTTCTGTGCCTTGGGAGGCTGCGCGGCCTTGGCTCCCGCGGCTTTTGGGGCGGCGGCCTTCTGGGCCAGGGGCTTCTTGGCGGTGGCGTCGCCCTTCTTGGCTGGGGCTGAGCCTTTGCCTTTGCCCTTGGCGGCTGCAGCTGCGGCGGCGGCGGCAGCGATGGCGGCCTTGGCCACTGGGGCTTTCTTGGGAGACGCTTTCAAGAGAGCAGCTCGCTGCAGTTTCTTCACTTCGTTCTTGATGAGTCGATTCCTCTGGAAGGAAGAAAAACAGGCCAAATAAGCTCGGAATTCGAGCCTTTTAGCTAAATGGGAGGCTGAGAGCCAGAGGATCCTGATTGGAGGCCGGGCCTGGAAAATCAAGTCCATGAGACACTGATCTCCCACGAACCACGCTCAAGCAGCATGCTTGATGGAGCTGAACAGCTAAGAGACAAGGGCACAGGCCCAGAGTTCAAATCCCATGACAGACAAGACAGAAAAAAAGGGGTTGGGGTGCTCATGAACCCACCCACAGCCTGCTCCCCCCAATTCTCTTCTAAGTTTTAGCGTTTGCTGTCCAAGTTGGCCTCAGATTTCCATCCTCAGACCTCAGCCTCCTGAGTAGCTGGGGCGGTAGGCATGAGACACGGTGCCCGGCTCTGGTCTATTCAAGCACCATTCTCCAGATGCTATAGAAGAGAGAACTTACCATCTTCTTGGCCTTCATGACTTTGTAGCGATCGAAGTCTGTCATCTTGGCTTTCTGCGGAGAGATGAACACATTTCACACGATTGCTTTTCCCTCTATTGTAAACGTGGTCCAAAACCCACGCGCGTGTGGCCAGCGGGGCCTTACCCTTTCCCTGGCGTCAATCTTCTTGGCCCACCGGGTGGCTGCCCACTTCGTATTGATGTCTGCCTTCTCCCACGCTTTGCGCACGTACTTCTGCCGGGCGCTGCAACACAGTGAAGACCACCGGTGAGACCCCGTGGACAGCTGGGAAGGTGGCTCAGTGGTAGAGTGCTCGCCTAGCATGCATGAAGCCCTGGGTTCCATTCCTCAGGACCACATACACACAGAAAAAGCTGAACGTGGTGCTGTGGTTTCAGTGGTAGAGCACTAGCCTTGATCCAAAGAAGTTAGGGACAGCGCCCAGGCCCCGAGTTCGAGCCCCAGGGCCGGCAAAAACAACACATGCTCTCTGGTTTTTATTTCCTACACGTAGACCGGGATCACAACCTCCCAAGCTCAGGACCGCATGCATGATGCGGGTTACGAATGAAAGGAAGTAGTCAGCAATTAACGGTCGTGAAAACACGGGAAGGCTACAAAACTCAAGTCAAAACAATCTGTACGCACATGTACAGACACAGACACACATGCGCGCGCACAGAAAACTACACCCTTGTTTCAAGTAGATGCTCATTTAATTTTTTTTGGGGGGAGGTCTGGTTGTGGAGCCTGAACTTTGGGCCTGCGCACTGTCCCTCAGCTCTTCAGCTCAAGGCTAGGGCTCTACCACTTGAGCCACAGCGCCACTTCTGGCTTTTTTCTTATGTGGTGCTGAGGAATCAAACCCAGGGCCTCATGCATGCAAAGCAAGTGCTCTACCACTGAGCCACCTTCCCAGCCCTGACAACACCTTTCTCCCATGAACTTCCATTTGCACAACTGTATGTATGCACACACAAACACGTACATATACATACACGGAGAAATAGAAGATATCAAGCTGTGGACAAAGCTAAAACTTGCTCCCTGGCTAAGTACAAAACTATTGGAGCTGGGAAGGTGGCTCAGTGGTAGAGTGCTCGCCT